CCCCCCCCCGCCGTTGCTTTCTGTAACAGCTGCACAATAAGTGATTACAGGAATTTTATTCCAATAGAATATTTTTCCACACTCCAGATCGCCCCAATTGTTTTCAGATTTTATTATTTTTTTTTTTAAATCTTACTTTGGGCAATGCTCATACCTGAGAAATTTTTACATAAAATGTGGAAAGTTCAGCAAACTTAAAAGTGACACAAGGAATTAGAAGTCTTCTCAACTTTAAATGAGAAGCTCAATATCAGGCTTCCCAGAATACAAATAAAGAGCTATGTTAGCTTTTTAAACCTAGTTCTTCAAAAATAGCTTCAAAGATCTTCCACAAAACCCTTGTTTTCACTTTTGACAGGCACATGCGGCACAAGCCATGAAATCTATGATCTGTCTGCCGTTGTTATGATCTACCTTACATAGCGGTTTTGCTACCTATGTCCTATCCTGTAACTTCTAAAAAAAACTTTTTCAGAACTCTTAACAGAAACTTCAATATTTATTTAGCTGTAATGTTATCAGAAGCTTTGCCTTCATCAAAAGGTAACAAATAGTATTATTCTGGCCTAACACTTAAAAAAAAAGCTAAAATTCACTTTCAAACTTCCTTACAGCATGACAGAAAATGAAGCGTGTCATTGCCATTTCCAGTGTTTAACATTACTTGGTTTTAGTTTCATGTTGAACACTGTCAGAAGTGGCACTCAAGGAACCATTAGAAATATCGCTTCGTCTTGTTTCTTTTATTAAGTACTAATTCTTCTGGAAGAGAAGTTTTCTTGTTTAACCAGACTTGCTACCTTTCCCTTTTTCACAGAACTCCCATTATTCTCTCAGAGCAAATGAACATAAACAATATACCCCAGAGTGTATACAATAAAATCCTTTGGGAAAGGAAGTGAGGTGACAGGAGGAGCAGAAAAGAACAGCTTCAGGGAGAATGTCACTTTAGTCAAAGCATTTCAAGATGAAACATCTATCCGATATTGCTGGGTTGGATTAATGAGCCAAGAGAAGAAGCTTGGGCAACAAGAAGTTTAAACTTGCCAGGACATTTTGACTAGACAGTAAGTTTGAAAGATAAAGCCAAGAGTGGAGAAGATTTTAAATTCTTCTAAAGAGAGACAGAGAATATGCAAAGATATGTAAAGTCTGACAATATTATAGGGAACAACAAAAAGGAAATAATCATCCAAAAGCATAAAAATAGAACAAAATAGCAGTGGATTAAGAGCTAGCCAAAAGATGCTGAAAGGAAAAAGTTGGATGGGAAGCCCTTTTTGCCATCATTTTTTGCCATCATCACAGGAGCATTCTGGGTTTGGATCCCACAGATCTAGGCTTCCTCTCTCCCAGAATCTTAGGGATCAAATACAGTCCATAACAATTCAAGCCTCAGATTTAAAAAACAAATGCCACTGGTATGTTTCACTAGCACTGCTTCCCGAGTCCTTCCTATTAATCAACTGTTCACATCCCTTTAACAGAAAGCACTGTCAGGATTTAAAACAATCAGAATTATCTCTCAATGGCACATTTATGTTTTAAAGAAGGCTGAAGTCAAGTCTTGGCCCAGTTTCTAGTGTGCCCATAAAACGGCTGAGGAATACATTTCCAGAGCCAAGTGTCCTTTCTGCAGATTAAGTCCAGTTTTCAGCAAAAAAGAGGTAAAAAGGTAAAAGTGCATTCAAAAGGCAACAGCAGTTACATCTCTGAAAGCAAAAAACTGTGCCAAAAAAAAGTGTATGCATTTCCATTAAATGGTTTCCAAGCATTTTGCTCCAACTTAGGGATTTGTGTGTAGATTTAGTGAGACATTCTTGAAACTGTCAAGATACTTAACTATGCAAAAATTAAGGGCTTTATCTCATCTTTAATTCTGTCTGTAGTTTTACATTATTTTTTCTTCCCTTTCTTTCTAACTTCTGGCTTAAAACTGGGGCACTGTCTTAGAATTCAATCACACCATGGAAGTGTCATTTTAATGGAGATGAAAGAGCAATATTAACTGACATCCAAAGCTTCTGACAAACAGAACTGCATGGGAGTGAGCAATGATTGAGATCTTAATCACTTGTCGGCTGTCGCATTGTGATGACTTGCATTTTCAACTAATCTGGCTTGAGTAATGAGTGAAATTTCTAGCTGAGTGGTGATTGGCATTCTCTGAATGAATCCTTTCCTCATATTTCATTTTCATGGGTGACTGATCACATCCAGTATATGAAAAACTGACATATGTTAATTGAACAGATTTGTGACAGGTGATTAGCTCTCCTTTCCTGAAGAGTCCTAGAGCTGTATAATTGTTTAAAATTGATAAAACTTTTTTTTTTTTTTGTCATCACCTTGGCTGTCAACTCTAACAATTTGAACTTTAGGAAATGGCCTCAAAGGTGCAAACTAAAGCTACATGAACCCCGTAGTCTTTGATTCCTGAAAGTTTCTCTTTGTTTCACTGCTTTTTTGGAAGGAAGAAAAGGAAGAGGTGAAGGGCAAAACAACAACCCAGTAAGGAAGAAAAGAGTTATCTCTGAGGATAAAGACCTCTTCCTTCTTTGACTGTTCTTTTAAGGCATTCTTTGAAACTTTCCAAACTACATACTGAAAGATGAAGGACATAGAATCTTTTGGGAAAAAAAAATAATCAAGGAATTCATGGAAAAACTCTGCCAGGTGCTTGGCAATCAGCTCAGCCATATGTGCTGAAAGCTGAACTCCTCAGTCTACTGCACAAGAGCCACCCTGTTACGGCACAGAGCGCCAAAAACACAGGGAACACCAGATCCCACAGGAACTTGCTTCCTTGTCCCAGAGCAGAGCATATCACACCTCAACATCCCAATAAACTGCGCTGTAGCCTAGGACCTCAGGGTCCTGGGCTATGGACACCAAAACCAGAACACCTATAGCTGCTTGTTCCTGTAGGGCCAGAAGCCTGGGGACCTTGGAGGTAACCTGCAAGGACAGAAGCCTCCAGAAGCTCAGCTCAAGTTGGGACTGCAACAGCTGCAGGACAAAAACAGCTCGCAGAGGGACGGCTGGCACAAGACTCGGAAGCTTTGAAGCCTGAGCCAGAGATGGACCCTGCAGCAGAAGCTGCAGGAGACCGACATGACATGGGATCTTCCCTAACCTAAACAGAGGATCAGCGCCACACAGGGCTCCGGGAGCATATTACGTGGCAGGGGTATCACATATTAGAGCTGCTGGGAACAGAATTTTTGAGAATTTTTAGTCTTCTTGGAACTGGAAATTTAGAAATTACCTACAAAACAGAATTCACAAGTTTTGGGCAGCTCCACTCTCTCTTCTATGCCAGGAAGCCCACCTCTACCTTAGGCCGGGGGACAAATAATACTTGACCTACAGTTTTTCCTGTGAGAAAACTAGCAGAAGCTGACAGTCAGATGCTTGCTGGCAGGAGCAGCCAACAAAGGACTTTTGGACATTCAGATAATCCCCTATCGTTCTCATTCTTCCATGCTAACTGCTGCCCGTCCAATCCTCCTGCTTTGCCCTTAGCTTCATGCCAGACCTGTTTTCTCTTCTGCTTTGCCTCCTGTACTTTTCTCTCATAAAAGCTTTCTTTACAAGACCGCTTTCCATTTAACTTATCCTCTCCTAATTCTTGATTTTTTTTAGATATTACCATAACAATAAATACCTTCCTCTTTGTCTCAGTATTAGCAGTTCCATAAGATAGTAGAAGACTACACCCAGCCACAGCAGCGCTTCTTACTCAGCTCGACAGCAGCTTCTTCCCATGCAAAGAGAAGTTCCTATTTAGTTTTTGTCAGATTAACAGAGAGAAGCAACAGCTGCAAGGACAAGTTTGCTGCAGTTTTAAGGAACGTAGGACACTGGGATTGAATAGTTTCTTTCATTATAAATTGATGATTGTGATAGCTAGCAAATATTCTAGAACATTTCCCATGTTCTCCACAACACAGGCTTCAGAGAAGTTGATAAATTTGTGCAATTACCCTGTCAGTTCCCTTGCTAAATAGTTGCCCTTTCACTGATGAAGAACACAGATTCAAACTTTAGTGATCAACTTTGATGTGTCTAAGCCAAGGGGCAAAAGAGAAAATAAAACAGACATGCTTATCCTTAAGTGTGGTACACACAAGCTCCACTAGAAAAGATATGCCAGAAGGAATACAGCGATGACAGGTAATGGCAAACAACTAAATAACTCATGCAATAGCGTTTAGATAATGTGCAGGAAGAATAGAGGAATAATTAATTACATCGCAAACCTTGTAGTGAGACATCCTTTCTTTTATCAGAGACACACATTTGCAGAAACACAGGCAAGCTTTTGAGACTGCGTGCTGGACAAACTTTGCTTTGCTTACATCCAGAGACTAAAGTAGTCAATAAATAGTAGACTACAGAAAATGAGAAATTATTTAATCTTGTAGTAATGTATCTGTTAAAAACTCACCTAATTCAATATCTCTTATCCCCATGTACGTTTCAAGAAGCTCATCCACCTTTTTAATTGCTTTTTCTTCAACTTCAGTTGGCTTTGTTGGAATAAAGGGAGAAAAAGAGCAAAAGTATGATTTTATCCATGCGGAATTCAAAATAACCAGCAATTCACCACTGATTATCCTTACTCCCATCCTTGCCAGCTAGACTTATAAAATCTACAAGTATAACACATTATTCCACTCTCTTTCCCTGTTCTGACAAACCTGAGCCTTCCTCCTAACACCAAGGCACACAGCTCTCACATCCAGACTAAACAGGGACCTTGCATCCCCTGGCAGTACAGATCTTCATGAAATCCTCATCAGTTTTAGAGGAACCCAGAATAAATAACGTTTCTTCTTCCAAACCCTAATCCTGGTTTTACACATGTTCATGTCAATGTACATTACAAGCCTCTCCTAACACCAACCCTTACACCAGCCCAGTACACTTTGCAACTTCAGAGACAGAAACAACTCTTCAACCATCCCCTGCTTCTTTTTCCCCCCTTCTCTTTTTTCAACACTCTGTGGTCTAATCTACCTTAAATTCATCCATGTAATCCATGACATCTAAATATAGGCTCTCTGTTTCCAGATTCCTCAGCCCTATCCTATCCCTGCTAAGTCTTCAACTTTATGTAAGCATTTCTCCCTGCAGAAGGCAGTCATCTCCTTCAGTCCCACAAGCTTTGTAACATCCAGATTCTCCCTTCCCACTTTACCTTATCAACCCTGGGGAAGAATAAATCAGGCACTAGATGATTAAACTACTGAAGGACCCCGAGATAACCATACCATTTCCTCCACAGTAGCAGGGCCTTTGGTTCTCAGCCGAAGTGTTTCTCTCCCTCTGGAGATTTTAGCCTCTGGCAGAGTTCCGCCTTTGGACCTTGGTTCCAGCTTTTCTAGAGACAAAAGAAACAAAAACAACAAAAAGAAAAGAATACCACACAAAACTAAGTATATGGCACATCAGGATATGATATATCTGACATTACATTCTTGATTATTCTAATCAAGATCTAGACATATGTAAATAGTTAATTATAAGTAAACTGTATTCTAAGTATAGCTTTGCTGACAATTTCTTGCCTTTCAAACTTCGATATCTGCTTGACTGCACTGAAGCTAGGACTTCCATTAACCAATACGCCTTTACAGACCTATTGCACTCAACTTCATAGGTGCACTTTGTATAATTTTTTTTCCCTATTCTACAGAAAAGTAGGAGTATTTATTACTTAATATTAGGTAACGGCTGAAGTCATCAGCCAAACGCTGGTTTATCCTGGTCTTTACAGGCAGACTCCGAAGCAGGTTTAGCACTGCAACATTTCCATCTTTCACTGATGCAGTGGTGCAAACACCACTGCTAAACAGGTCAGGATGAGCCACACTGAGCGGAGCTAACAATTCCATTACTTGTGGAATAAGTCTTGCATAAATCCACAAGTAGATCTGCAGAAGTTTTTCCACTGGTTTCACCGCGGTCATTATTTCACACCTGATAAACCTCTACCAAGAAAAGTTTACCCAAAGTTTTCTTTACCAGAATTCGGCTTTCCTTCTTTAACGTTGGGTAAGGGCACCCCAGTTAGTAAATGGAGTACGGAATCATTTCAGATTTGGCTTTCTTGTTCTCAGACATAATTTTATATTCAAGAGTGGCAAGGCTTTAATTTACTTACTGACATGGGAGTTACATAATTCACCTGGAAAGTGCTATAAGAGAGCAGAAATTTTTGCAGAACTGTATTTTAACTGTGCTGTCTTCTCTATCAGATTATCCTCCTCTTAACAGTAGGCCTTTCCTTGAAGGCAAGGCTTTAACATGTTATATTCATTTTGCCCAGGTAGATTCCAACTCATCATTCTTGCATAAGTCAAAAATCCAGATTATTCTGCTGAACAAGTCTTGAAAAGTAAATTTTGATTGATTTTAACAAATAGATATGGCCCAGTCTATTACATATATACTTAGGATGAACATTTTTCCTTAATCCTTTTATTGCTTCTAGGAGAGTTTAAAACATCCTTGAGATTGCCATTATTTCTGCTAGACTTGTTTCAAAAAGTCACTCCTGATACAACATACATCTTTGTCTAGTTTTGTCACCATTAGCACCTTAAAACTCATGACTTGACATAACCTTTACTTGCAATACTTCAGACCAAAGCACTCTGGCCACCGTAGAAATCATTCTTCACATTCACATAATTTACATTTAGAGTTTGTGTTATGCTGCTTTTTCTCAGTTTCTATTAATTTTTCACCAATTTGTAGGGGGACAGCTTGTGACTGGTAAGGATTGACTTAATTCAGACAAGTCTTCAATTCTGTGCGACAAGCCTTGCCTAGAGTAGCCGAGGCAGTTTGTGTGCACGTGGTAGAAAGATATCCACCCGGGAAATTATATTTATTTCACATTCTGCTGGGAGGAGGAAAAATAGAAGTAATTTCACACACAGATTTGTCTTTTATTTCTGTATCCTGACAAACTTGTGTTGAAACTAACAGGAATTCAGCACCTACTTGTCCAGCAGGATCTGGATCTTGTTTGTCATCTCCTCTGGGGCGATTCTCAGCATGCTGCAGCTTAAGCACTACCTCGAATAAATTTGTGCTTAAAGTCTGACTGCCACTAAGGCTAGAGGTGGGATATTCTAACTTACTGGGCACTGCAACTTGTAAATTAATTTCTGTAGGGTAAAAAAATAACGTGCATCTTCCAAAAATCTGTCTAAAAAGCTCTGATTGCCTCTTAATTCAATGTCAGATAAAAGGTATTGCCATGGAAATAGCAGGTTTCCTTCTCTACATTACAGGCAGGCTAAAAGGTATCTTATCTTAATCACCTGACTAAAGTAATTACTATTAAATAATGGCTGAAGTCATCAATCAAATGCTGATTTACCCTGGTCTTTACAAATAGACTATGTAACATTTAGCATTGAATAAAAATTACAAAGCCATATTAAAAAGGTATTCCTATATTACTAATTGCAATACTATACATATGTAATACCACTTTAGCATAATGCATAACATACACATTTACTTAATAGCAGTATCAACTTATATCCAAATGCATTACAGATTAGCTCATAACCCTCATTCTTCACAGAAACACCAAAAGCAAAAAGAAACCTTCAAATTTCTCTAATTTTCAATTTCTGCTGCTATTCTGACACCAAGTGTCAAGACTGGTGTATGACAGCAGTTGCAAACTACTAACAGATAAAAAAAAAAAAGATTTGAAAAATAAACATTTCAAACTGCTGCTGTGGCAAAGATGGTGATTTTCACTTGCTGTTAGTGCAGGCATTCACAAGGACTCATATACACTTATAATTTAGCAGTATTTTGAAGTTTTTATTACAGAAAAACAATATAGGGTTTGGGAAGTGATATAAAAAATTGAAAGAATAAAAATTAACTCATTCTCTTTTCTTTTTTTTTAGCTTACGACATTGATAAAATTAATATACATAAGGATCAGCAGTAGGTATGCATGTCTCTATGTAAGTATCACTTTCTCATAGCATGCAGGTGGTAGGCAGAGACAGAGCTTTGCATTACTGCTTTCTTCCAATTCTGAGTATACTTGCTGCACGATTAGAGATGCCCAAAAAAGCTGGGGAGAGCAGGCAGGTATGCAGCAAAGGAGATGCTCTAAGGAATCCCAGAGTGTTTTCTGCAGCATTAGAGGGTGCAGTGCCCAGTAAAGGGTTCAGAAATAGAAGAGTCTGACAGACAGATGAACACGTATCAATAAAGGAAGTGAGAAGAGGAGGTTCAAGGATCAGGGCATTACTGAAGTGATCCGTGCTTTAAAACTGTCTGTGAGACAATTCCTGTATTTATTTCGCAGCATCATGTGGTGGCAAAGGAATCAAGCAACTGAGACTCAGGCTGAGGCAGCCCACACCAGAATGACTGCTGGAGAAAGCAAGATGGAAGAAAATCCATTCATAAACTTCCCACTTCAAAGAAAAAGAAAAACAAACAAAAAAATACACTTTTTTTGTATTGGTTATGCTACCTTGGGTGGACACCTGGCTGCCATCTGAAAACAAACTTACAATGCAGTGCAGTGTTGGGATTTCCATATCCAGTAAACAATGTGGACAGTCAGGTCACTCACCAAATGCTTTCATAGGCTCTATCAACTCCAGCTTAAACACCTGACCTTTCTCCAGGTCTTTTAGCATTTTGGCAACTTCATAATGCCGACAATCGGACACATTTTTTCCATTTATAGTCTTTATGTGATCACCCACGCAGATGATTTTGGTTTGGTCCATAAGGCTACCTTCTTTGATTCGCTATTGTTTAAAAAAACAAACAAACAAAAAAAAAACAAACAACAAACCATAATCAGAAACATTTCTTTAAAAGATAAAGAGGTGACACCACAGAGTTTCAAGAATGTCAGTTAACACCATCAATAGCATTGAGCTTATTATACCACCAGTGCATTTTGTCTACAAGATTTTCATAAAATGTATTTTGGAAAGCATTATTTTTCAAACAAAGGATTCTAATAAGCATTGAATATAAAATCAACAGGGGAAAAACAAAAGAACGCAATCATACTTTAGAAATTAAGGCTTCTGAATAAGCTAAATTTTTGTGCTTTAAAACTGAACACAAATGTGTCAGTAACGTGAACGTTTAATTGAATTTTGGGGGTTTATTTTGATTTAATAGTTTGACAAGCATAGGAACAGAACTTTTCTCTTTTCAAGTATGGTCCAGGGACATAAAAAAAAAAAGTGTGTGACATACTAAAAAATTACCTACTATAAAGGGCTAGTCTTAATAGCATAGATCCATCTATGGTGATAAAACTTCTACCATTTTCCTTATCAAGCTATACAGATGTGTATTAAAATATTTCCTCTGAAATAACAGTAAAGAATAACAAATTCTTCTAAATGTCATCTCATGGAATACAAATGGTCTAAAGGTCATAAAAAGTAATAGACGTCAGAACTGATAGTTTTTGTGAAGTGGAATTTAAAAAGTGAGAAAATCCCCAATCTTTAAAAGATCTCTATGATCTATCAAGTCAATTAAAGCACACTTAAAATTTCAGTGATTCTGTTTAGTGTTGTTATATGCTGTCATATTTATTTATCATGTGCCTAAGACATGTGAGCCGTTATCCTATAGCTATTTAATAGAAAAGCTATGACATAGTAGAATATCTTGTATTTTGTAGAGATATGAATTTCATTCCAGTATTTTCCTGAATAGCGTACTTTTCAGTAAAGACCGATGTTGTTCAGGCTAACTTTGAGTGAAATAACAGTGAGACAAGAGCGATAAACATATTACCACCTCCTACTATAACACCTAGCCTGGCTGCATAACCATCTCAGAAACCTGCTTCTAGTCTATGTGCGCACATCTGAGCCCACATATGTGCCTCCATCTGAGAGAGTCAGTGGGAAGTGTGATAGCGCTCAGTGTCCTATAATACACTGCAACAATTTTTAGCTTCAGGCTGAGTTTAACTCTTTCTAGCCTTTTTGTCTTTAACCTAGATTAAAACCAAAAAGAAGCCTCATGGTGAAGAGGGGGATATTGTGCGCACACCAGAAACCAGGTCCCAACTGCATTTCTGTTACCAGATGCCAGGATTCAAAAGCGTGCCCACCAGACTTCAGTTCATGTTTAGTCTACATGTTAAATTCATTCTCATTTAGCTTTTCTTCTTCACTTGGATCCTAACACCAAAACTGTTTAAGTAACATTCACGGGCTGTTATTCGTGTCATATCAATAATGTTTTTTAATGTCTTTATCATCACTCCAAGTTAACTGACCAGAGAGAGTCAAGCTACATTGTCACAGTAATTAAAATGCAATTGATCTGCCTGTATTTCAAGTGCTCTGTAGTCCATTTAGAAGCTAGGATCTATATTTCCTATGCAATGCCTAAAATTACTTGCACCACCCCATTTTATAACATCTCCTTACACACCTGTCAATCATGCTTCAAATTATGTTATTCTTTGAATGGCTAATTTGATTCCATAATACATCTTCCCATCTGGCCACGTAGCCAGAAAACAAATTTGTGAAAGGAGAACACCACCAAGTTTTGTTCTTAGTAAGGCAAAACAACGTTAGATTTCATAGGAAAAGAACCTGCAGTTCAGAGCGTCAGGTTTAAAAACTGGCTGGGTTATATCTCAAACCTGGAAACTGTCCTGTTACTCAAAATGCGGTAAAATTACTGTACCCCATAACAGCTTTCAACAATACACATATAGGAAAATTTAATATTAATTCTTAATTAAAAATGGACCATAGTAATAATTTTTCCATTTTTATATGTTTATAAACATAAAAACAAAAAAAATTCTATCAAACTTTAAAGTGGAGACAGTCTTTGCTCAGTCATTTGCGTAGATCAAGTATAAAAAACATGCAGCTTTTACTTTTGCATACGGATTTTCTATGCTGTTCTAAGAAATCCATTAGCTAAACATGCAACAGCAACAAAGCAAGCTCCTAGAAACTCCTTTAAACTGATGCATTCCCACAAAGACTGCACCGTTCTCATTATACTGCTTATTAGACCAGTACAAGGACAACGATGTTTTTGTTCAGGCAAGTTTTATACAATTTACTGGAAATTACACCTTGTCTTGCGAATGTGGTGAGGGTTTTCCAGTCTGCTCCAATTATGGAGTAGTCTGTGTGATGGCTGTTCTCTCTCTCTCTCTCTCTCTCCATATCACCATCCACGCACAGAGGGTAACGCTCTGTACAGCGCCACACACGTGAACTTTAATCGCTGAAGCACTGCTTTCAATGCCTTCTTTTAAAATACCACATAAGCAGCAGCGTGACTGAACGTTACGGGCTGCGTGGATGCCACCACTGGAAATTCAGAGTTCTGCATCTATAAACAGAAAAATGAGGCTATGATTTTGCCAAACTGCTTAGTGAAACCTCCTCTGCATCTCGACTTTCTCAAGCGTGACCTCAATCACATTTTTCCACGAAAAAAGACAAGCCAACTTGTTTCTAAACCACATCTTGTTTCATATCCATGGTAGCTAAGGAATGACTAGAGCATAAAGCCTCTACATACAAGCAGCTCTGTTTACACTAGCAATGAGAACAGTGATTGAAACAGCAGTAATCGAAGATAATTGCCAACGCCTCACTAATAATGGATAATTGGAGTAGATTAGAGCAAAGCATCAAAAAAAGGCAGAAAATGTGATTAAGGTTCCTAATACCTAGTCTAGGAAGAAGGGTAGCATAATTTCCTCAGCCTCTATTTGTCTCAAAACATACTATCTGGAGGTCATATAGAAGAGGAGGAGGAAAGCAATTATGATTAATATATTGTACATGTTACTGCCCATAGTTGCTACTCAAGTTAATTGCGGCAAATTATGTTAATCTGTATCCTTAACACCTTTTAATTCATCCTACTTATCTCAGGCAACAATATTGGAAAGCTGAAAAAGCATCGTTCTTGCACCGATTCTTATACAGCACAAAGGCTTCTGCCTTGAGAACAGTCAGAAAGACTGAAAGAACTTGATCTCATTATCACGAGTGACAGCCATTCTATAAGCACCTAATGAATGACATCAGAAAATCACTTTGAAAAAAAAAAAAAAGAAAAAAGAGGGGGCAGATGCAAGCAGTATCTAACACCTACCACCTCAGGGGAGGTCGGAAAATATAATGGTCACATTGTAAAGCTGATACACATTACAGAAGCAATGAACAAATGAACTAATTTTGAATGACATGCAATACAGAAATAGCTGAACTAATTTTAAATGATGTACCTAAAGAAAAGCAACTTTATTTTTCACTTATCATATATATGATAATAAAAGATTTTATAGTTCTAAAGGATCATAAAAACAATAATTAAACTGTTATAATAACAGAAGCAAGTATAGTAACAGAACAAAGTATTTCACTGGTAATTAAATCCACCTTTATAAATGCGCAGCCAACTCCATTGTCTGTAATGGTAAGCCCAAGCACATCATCAGTTTTAAGAACTTCCACTTCTTTTCGTTGTCCTTTTATGTGGGCAAATATGAAATCTTCAAGGCCAATTTGTGCACCCAAGAGCTTGTCCATATCAGCCTTATGAGTGTTCAAAGTGCAAAACATGATCTGTGCAGGAGGAAAGCAAACACATTAAGTTTAGTGATATATTAGGTTTAGTGAGCTTGATAGGAAGGTAAAAGGAGAGCATAGTTCTGGCCTCTCTGACAGATACAGAGTTGAAATGATGATTTTTCTCCTTCTCCAGCTGCCCCAGGAGAGGCGACAGTCTCCATCCACGCACATGACAGGAGGCATCAATAGCTCAAACTCTCCAGGTAAGAGCTGGTGGGGAGCGAAGGAGAAAGACATATCTGTGTGAGCGGCCTCTCCCGGCCTGTCCCAGCACACCAACTCTGACACGGGCGTCTTGAGCTAGAGCAGAACAGCTTGTTCCAGAGCTTAGGAACTGAAGAGTCACCACCATCTTTTGCTTCATCATTCACCCACCTCAAATTCCACAGGACTCAAACATCATTAGGGACTGCTTCAAAATGTAACTGCTTGAAAGCAGTGTCACAGAAAAGGGGAGCTCATCACTACAAAAGCATCAGGAGAGCATGAAATGTTTTGTATTGCTCCACATGTTCCACCATTAGCTCAGAGCACATTCTCTCCACAAACTTGCTTAGTTTCCTACCCTTCTTCCAGCACAAGTGGGAGTCATCTCTGTTCCAGCAAATTTTTTCTTCATAAATCAGCCTTTCTGTGGGATTTCCCTTCAGCACTGAGTGTGGGGCACTCTTTTCTTCTCCCTACACTTATACTAGTGGTTCTTTAACAGAGATTTATTGTCTGGGGCATAGGCAGGACAGCCTTTTTGCCCACCGTGGAGCTGCAGGGAAGAATTTGGCCAGTCCAGGCAGGCTTTGGGCTCTCTGCTTTTTGACTACAGGCTGTACTGAACAGCCTAGCCAAAAAAAGAAACAAAAAAAAAAACCCCAAACCCAATGCTCCTCCTCACAGCTAGAGTAACTACACCTGCCCGACTCCCTTCCAAGCTGGAGCTGGAGCGGAGGGGGGGACAGCAGTCAGAATAGGGAAACTCTGTGCTCCAAGAGAAACTTGGAAAATCCCTAAGATCTGCTCCACTGAGGCAAAGAGTGGCCCTAAAGACCATCTTCCACATGCAACTGGAAGCAGGGGGAGAGGAGTAGACTTCCCACCCCATTTGGTCCTTCAGGACAGGTGGCAAAACCACAGCTGCAAACCATCAGGCAAAGGCTCTGCTGCCAGCAGGACACACATGGCTCTGACAGGACCAGAGGGAGAAAAGTACATACTTTCCCATCCCCTACCTATATCTGCTGGACAGTATTTTCCTTCAGGGTGCACCTTGGATCCCCCGTGCAGCCCATGGCCCACACCAGCTCCAATTTAGGAAGTGGGAAAAGCAGTGCCAACACATGAGAAGTTCATGGTGGGAAGCCAGCCTAGCATTTGAGCAGAACCAGCAGCAGGATGTCGCTCAGTGTCCTTCATCTTTGCTCCCACGTTAGTGGCGGTCCCTGGGGAGCCACGGGCCAGGCCAGCT